AGTTGGAGAGCGAACATGCGGAGGACGAAGGGGCTGACGTACATGATTGGCCGTCGCAAGGTACGCTTGTATGGCGTGTGCGAGTTGCAAGTTTGTGGGGAATTGTGGATAAGTGGATACGGTGGTTTACTGTTAATTTAGGCGCGATTGCATTCGAGTCGTATTCGATGCGATACCGAGACCAGTTGGATTTGGTCTTGACCAACATTTCGATCAACGTTGAGCCAGGCCACCAAGTGGGCATATGTGGCCGGACAGGGTCGGGCAAGAGTTCGTTAATGGCAGCTTTGTTTCGCATGGTGCCAGCGTCGTCTGGGCGTATCACGATTGATGGGGTATTGCGACTGAATATTCAAAATGGACGTTACCGACCATTTGTTGTTTTTACTGTATGCAGGTGGACATTGCCAGTGTGAGCGTGACCAGTCTCCGCCAAGGTCTGACCATCATTCCGCAAGACCCGGTGCTGTTCAGTGGGTCCATTCGACTCAATTTGGACCCGACCAATTGCGCCACGGACGCCGAGCTGTGGACGGCCCTCAAGCAGGTGCATTTGAGTGGAGCAGTCATTCCGACCTTGGAGTTTGCCATTTGCGAGCGCAGGTCGAATCTGTCGGTGGGGCAGCGGCAGTTGGTGTGCATAGCTCGGGCGTTGCTGCGGCAGTTCAAGGTTGTCGTGCTGGACGAAGGAACTTGTGGTTTTTATCGGAACATTATGGGAAATGATTACGCACATAGCACGGTGGCTACGATGAGCTGCAAACTCCAACCTCAAGTTAACCACTTGTTACTGCAGTTAACTGCAATAGTATTGTTTTTGAATATATTCAAAAACAATACTAAAATGAAAGTGAATACAGCGGCCGTTAATTGAACGACGAAGAGGTCTGGAACAGGTCAAACTTTTGGAGCGAGTAAAAGTTATGGGTCGGAGGGTGGCACTGCCAGAGGTGGGGCCGCGCGCCGGTCTCGTCGTTGATGTCGAGGCAATATCCATTGTGCGTCAAGTGGCGCAGCTGTTTGGTGTACACATCATACTGCCACTTTAGATTCTGGTTAGTGTCGCAATTCGACGTCTGCACGCGACCACCGTTCCACGGCTCGTACGCGTCGAGGCAGTTTTCGTCGTCGACCGACTGCACCAGGTGGTAGTAGCGGTTGTAGGCCCACACCTGGTGCCACTCGACCGACTGCTGCACGTTCGGGTCGGACGGATTCTCGGCCTGGTCTTTCGGCAGCAGCGGCGCAAACGAAACGTTACCCTGTATGTCGTTGCGCTCCGTATTGGTCAGGAGCAGGTCCTTGCGCTGCAAATGGCCGATCTCCTGGACCACGGACCAGTACTGGTTCTTGTTAACGTCGTGGGAATGGCACTCCCACACTTGGACCTGGTGCTCGGGGGCTGTGGGGTCGGCATCCAGACACACGTTCGGGTGCGTGGCGTGCTGGATGCGGTGGTTGGCCATATCCACGCGCCACCGCTGGTTGGGGTTAGCGCGATCGCACTCCCATGTGTGGACCCAGTACTTGCCGTCCTTGGGGTACGCGTCGAGGCACTCGCGCTGGTTGCTGTTGCTGCGGAGCTGTAGGAACTGCTCGTTGTACAGCCACCACTCGTTCATGTTGTCTTTCTCGACGTCGGCATACAGCTTCGAGTTCCATTCCGAGAGCGGGTAGTCTTGCGCAGAGTAGAAGCGCAACGCGACTTCTTTGGCGCAGGCGGGGACAGCCGAGCCAACCAACGGCAGCACGGCAGCAAAGCAAGCAATTGACTTCATGATCGATGAAAGGCAAATGGAAAAGTGTGGATTGGGATCGAAAGAGATCATTTATTTGGTGTCCTTTTTTTTTTGTATCGTCCGTCTTGTTCTTCGAGTTGCGTCGTCCGTGGGCTACTTGAACTACTCGGAGTAGTTATTACTCAAGTGTATGACACATTGGCGGTCCTAGCTTTGTAAACAAGCGAGGGGAATATATGGCAACGTGCTGTTGTGCATGGTTTGATGGCGC